TCCAGCCCCGCCCAAGATCCCGCCTCCTGCCCATATTGGCGGGAAGACGCCAGCTGCTTAGCCGCGGAAAGATGTCCGGGTTGTGCGCGGCTGCTGAGGAGAAGGTGGGCTCCAGACAGCGAGTCCAAGTGAAGGTGAGAGACGGCTTGTCGCTTTCGGGTGTGCTCCCACCGCAGGCTTCGTGAAGGGGCTGTGCTTGGGAGGGCACCAGCGCCTGGCGGCCCACTCGGCCGTACTCCGAAACTCTTTCCCTCCGCTGGGGCATCTGGCAGATTAACGGGCTTTCCCGGGTTTCCTTCAAAAGAGAAGCAGGATCCCTGCTCTGGTTTTCTTCTACGGAATCTAGGCTTGAGCGTAGAGAAAGGTTCTTTTCAACCCCAGAAATAGTGGCAGGATGGGATCAGGGACTCTACATTTGCTTTTGCAGTAAGTCAGTTTTCCATTCTTGGAACAATTCCAGTTACTCAGCAGCTGACAGGGTAGACTCCTCAGTTACAAGTTGTAGTCCTCACTGTATTATTTATTGGTCTGGTAGATTCATATGGGCAAGAAATGTGACCAGTATAATAAGTAATTCTATTTGGGTTAGTGAATTTTTTGTCTTGAGTTTGGATGTAAAAATTTTTTTTATAGATTATCAGTTTGGATTAATATAGTCATTATGAAATAGGAATTCAATTTATTTGCACTGATCTGTAAGAAAAGATATAGGACTTGGGATTCTAATACTCTCTTTTCCTTTATTGGTCTGAATAGGTGAATGAATATAAAGAAAACCAGAACATCTCTTATGTATCTCTGAGACCAGTTTTAGAAAAAACAGCTAAGGTGTGTCTTGTACCCTTTTCACTCAGTGATTATAAACCAGACAAATTTAAGCTCCCCAAATCCCTATTAGATAATTCTAACAATGAAGTGGCATGTAAGAAATATAAGAAGACTGAAATAAAGAAAACTTTCAGGAAGATTTTAACTCCAAAGATGAAAACCACCACATCTTCTAAGACAGAATCCACTCTGCAAAAATCATCTGTAGATGTTCACACAGAAAATAACAAACTACAGCACATGAGCACTTCGGATACAGTGATTCTCGGTGCTGACATGGAAGGCAGGCAGGATGGAGACAGTGATGAAGATACCACATCAGGCCTGGTAAGAGTTTAGTTATTGCTTATCCAAAATTTTCTTATTTTAAAAATTTGAAGTTCTGATAAGGTTACGCTAGCTCAAACAAATTATTTTATCTAATTTATGTTTAGTTGAAATTTTCTTTTTTAACTGTTTAACAGAGAGCTTCCTTGGGTTAATTTTGTTCTTAGTTTTGATTTGTCATGGAGAGGATTGATTTAATCTTCACTCTGCTTTCCTTTTTTCTTCTCAGTTTATTACATTTATTTTTGAGTTTATTCATACTTTATGGCATCTTGCTCACCTTTACATGTTTATGTACAGTATACCAAAAGAAGTTGGCCTGTGGGATATAGGGCACTTGAGTGACCCTTGATGTCAGGATATCAAAATCACCATTAATTGGTTGCATTGATGTGCTGAATAATATTTTCTTTAAACACAAAAAAGAGATAAATGATGGAGTAGAGAAGATACGTAAGAAAATTTATTAGTTGTATTTAAAATAAATTTTGAATCAGTTTAAGAAATTAGGGACCTACTCTTTTGGCTTCTGTTGCCTACCAGGAGTGCTGTTGCAAGTTTTATAGAGGTGGGTAATGGGTGACAATAGTTTGAATTACACATACCTCTTAGAAAACTGATTTTTTGGGGGAGAAAAAGGGACATCTGTAATATTTTAAGCAAAAATAAAAAATTAAAAAAAACCCCAAAAACTGATTTTTCTTTTTGTCGCAATTTTTTTATCCTCACTTGTAGATATTTTTTCCATTGCTTTTCAGAGAGAGTGGAAGGGGGAGAGAGAGAGAGAGAGAGAAACATCCATGTGAGAGAGACATATCAGTTGGTTGCCTCCTGCACACGCCCTGATTGGCGCAGGGATCGAGCTTTCAACCGAGGTACGTGCCCTTGGCCGGAATTGAACCCGGGACCCTTCAGCCCTCAGGCTGATGCTTTAACAACTGAGCAAACCAGCTAGGGCAAAAACACTGATTTTTCTTAGTGAATTTTCTTAATTTTTTTCTGTGGTGAGTAGAATCATTTAAATTTGTTCTTTTGATCTCAGTTTTGAGCATTTTGAAATAGAGTCTTAGGAAGTCCTTGATGATGGTGATGTTTTTCTCTGAGAAGCAGTTTTGAAGGCAATGACAACAATCACCTTTGCTGCCACTATTATTTTGTATGTGTGAGAAAAATCTTTATTTTGGTCCAAGTAATACATATATATGTGTTTATGTCATATAATTCCACATGTGTATATGTACATACACAAAGAGAGGTAATTCCATATGTACATGAATACACAAAAACAAACCAAAACAATCAGCAATTTTCTGCCACATTCCTTTCTTTTTGTTGCCCATCTTTTTTCCCCCCTCCTTTTTATCGATTTTAGAGAGAGAGGAAGGGAGAGAGAGAAACATTGATTTGCTTTTCCACTTATTTGTGCAATCATTGGTTGATTCTCGTATGTGCCCTGACCGGGGACCTACCTGCGTGCAACCTTGGTGTATGGAGATGATGCTCTAACCAACTGAGCTACCCAGCCACAGTCTGCCACATTCCTTTATATTTGTTGTTGCTCAATAGACAAATTGCACTTTCAGCTTTTTTAGCTTTTTCCCCCTACATTATCTATTGGAAGATGAAGATTTGTTTCATACCTTTTACACACAGGTGCCCCCTCACCCCCATGCTTTCCCTTTCCATATCCTCAATTAGGTATAGCTCAAGCTTTACCAGAATTGTAAAATTTTTCTCAATATAAATTAAAGAATTCTAATGGCTGTCTTGCCGGTGTGGCTCAGTTGGTTGGGCATCGTCCCATGCACTGAATGGTTGTGTGTTCAATTCCCAGTCAGGGCACATGCCCGGGTTGCAGGCTCGGTCCTGGTGTGGGGCATGCAGGAGGCAGCCAATCGATGTTTCACTCTCTCTCTCAAAATCAATAAAAAAATCTTAAAAAAAATCCTAATGGCTTCACATATATATATTTTTCTTCATTAAATATTTCCTGGGGCCCTCCATCTTCCTACTTCTTTCTGGACTGTTTTACTCTGTCTTGGCTTTCCTTTTACCATTTTCCTATGAATTTTTAAAATCTTTTATCTCTCCTCTGCTGGATCCTGTTTTTCTCTTACTGTTTATTCTCTCATTTTGGTGAAGTGCAGCTTATAGTAACTTTCTGAGAAAGGTGTATGAGAGGTAGTTTGCATGTTTAAAAGAATGTTTTACATTTGATTGATGGCTTAATTGGATTTAGAATTGTAATTTGAAAATAATTTTTCCTTAGAATTTGTTTTTAATATCATTTTTAAAAATATGTTTTTATTGATTTTAGAGAGAGAGGAAGGGAGAGGGATAGAGAGATAGAAACATCGATGAAAAAGAAACCCGTTGGCTGCAATCCGGGCATGTACCTTGATGCTCAACCAATGGGTCAGTGCTCAACCACTGAGCAACACTGGCCAGGCTCCTTAGAATTTTTAACATATTGTTCCCTTGTTTTATAGTGTCCCTCAATATTGAGAAATTAGTGCCATTCTGATTCTTTGTTCTTTGTGATATTTTTTCCTTCTGCAAGCCTTTAGGTAAAATCTTCTCTTATCTCACTTATCTCAGGTGTTAAGAAAATTTGTGATAATATGCCTAGATTTTGGTCTTCTTTCATTCCTTGAGCTGCATACTCATCGGGCCCTTTTAATCTTCTGTGTTCAGTTCTGAGAAACTTTCTTGTATTATTTCTCTAATTATTTCCTGTCTTCATTTTCTCTGCTGCAACCCCCCAACTATTGGATATTGGACTTCCAAGATGGCTTCTCTAGTCATATTGCCTTTTCTGTTCATGTGCTTATTTCTTTTTGTTGTTGTTGTTGTTTTTTCTAAATTTTCTTAATACTTTCAATGAATTTAAAATTTTTCTGTTATTGAGTTCTTTTTTTTAATAAAAAGATAACTTCGAGTAATAGTATAATTAATGGCCAGTAGGAAATAATTTGCTATTAGGTTACAATACTTGACTTCTGATATCAGATAATTTGTTATTTAATTGGGAAGCCATACATATATCTTGTGATTATCCGACATTCAAACTCTTTTACTCATTATCTAATAAAGCAAAGAGTATGTGCCGTTTAGTAAGATATGATATGAATAGAGTAGGTGCAATTTGAAGGAAAGTATACATGCAGAGAATTCAGCACCTAGTTTTGTGAGGTGCTTTTGCTATGGATTATGTTAAGTAACAGAATCTTTTTGGTGTAATTTCATAGGATGATTTTTCAGGATTGTCACCATATGAAAGGAAGAGACTGAAGAACATATCAGAAAATGCAAACTTTTTTGCTTCGCTTCAGTTGTCTGAGGTTTGTGTGGAGTTTCTAATTAAAACTAAGATACAATTTCTCTTCCCAGTGGGGTTGATAAAATACTCATGGTATCAGGTTTCATAGTGCCATATTAGAAAGGGTAAATTAAGAGCAAGTTTTGTACTTAGTAGAGAGAGGTTACTATATTTTATTGATTCCAAGACTTTTTAAAATTTTAATATTTTAAAAATCAGCTACTTAAAACTATAACTGGCACCTCGTCCCTTCCCCCCTCTTTGGTGGTACATAAAGTAATGATGTCTTATGAAAGGTTGTCTTGGGTTCAAGAAACAGGGTATGTTCTAAGTGTTTTCTTTAACTAAAGGATAAAGGAGAAGTGGGAGGGATTGAATTGAAGGATGTGTACTAGATGAAGAAGACAAACTTTTTAAAAAAAATCTTAGACTTTAATAGATGGGAATATGCCATTTGTATAGGGAGTGTTAAGGATGAATGGCCAGGTCTATGCTAATGTTTTATAATCATTATAATTAAGTGTATAATTTACATTGGTGTCTTTATACTGAGGGGTAAATTTCTGTGTGTGAGAGAATAACTGTTTAGGAGGGTGTGTGATGTTTCCCTCCAAAAGACATCAAACCCTTGGCTTTATTAAGTAATTAATTGAATTCTCCAAATACTAGATTCCTAAATATTCAGTGTGTGGTTGCATCTTGAGGGGGAAGGGAGGGTGAGTAAATATAATTTTATATAACTAAACTTTATATGTATGTCATTAAAATTTATCAGAAATTTAGACAGACTACTTCTAATTTTGATTATAGTTAACAGAAATTATGATTTATTATATAAGTATAACCTATAACTTTTCGAGAAAATATCAAAGTATGATTTCCTTAGTGGAAGTTAAACCTTTTAATTTGTAATAGTATATTTGACTAAATGTTTAATGTTTAATCATGTAAACTCATTAGCAACCTGGTTCAAGGCATCAGAATGCCAGTACTTTAAACAGTATTATATACTTGATTTTATTATTGATAGTATATTTGTCTCATGTCTACTACCAAGAGCAGGTATCATATTTTAAGGATCTTTATTTCCTGTATAGATCTTAGTTCATGTGGATATAGTAGCAGATACTTAATATTTTAAAAGGTAAGCTTTGTAGTTATAAGGTACTATTTTTATGTGTATATATTTTGTGTATTTTGCAGTCAGCTGCAAGACTCCGTGAAATGATAAAGAAGAGCCAGCCTCCTGAATCCAAAAGGTAAAAGATATGAGAATGCCCTGTGATATATTGCTGAGTTTGATAGTTTGAAAAAATGATTCAGCATAGTAAAATAAGTAACAGATCAGAAACTTTGTAATTTAATCTTAATAGGTTTTCTGAGGAAATGCTACCTTATAATTACTAAAGTTCTCATCTAATATAGAGGAAATAGAATCTTCAGAGCTGAATTTTTTTATATTTAATACTATTGCTGTTAATGGAGGGAAATCTTTTTTTACTAAATTATTCTTATTTTTGCCTAGAAAATTATTCTTTTTTTCCCCTTTTTAAATAGAATTTATTGGGATGACGTTGGTTAATAAAATTATATAGATTTGAGCTATAAATTCTTTAATACATCATCTGTATATTGTATTGTGTATTCATCGCCCCAAGTGAACTCTCCTTCCATCACCATTTATCTCCCCTATGCCCTCTTCTACTTCCCCCCACCGAAAACGGTCATTCTTAAAGATTCTTCTTTCTTTTTATCTTCCTGGCTATCTTTTTGCTTTCAATTTGTGTTTTCTCTTCCATTCTTAGAATAAAGGAAGTGAACATTTATTGCACATCTATAAAATACAGTGACCTAAAATTTTTTTCCTGTTTTATCTCATTTAATTTTGAAAACAACTAGATGTGGGAGATAATACATCCATTTTGTGAGATAGAGAACAGGCTCAAAAAGGTAAAGTAATTTGATTAAGGTCAAAATAGCTCAGAAATGGAAACTTCAGGATTTGAACTTCAGGATTCCTTAGCTTAAGTTCTATCTACTGCATTTTAGCAGTGCTTATGTATAAATGAAGAAACTAAAAATCTTGGCATCATTAGATCATTTGTTTAGCGCAGATGGTAATGAAATATAGCATCGCTTTAACTGGTTTGATTTTTATTTACTTATTGATTTTCGAGGGAGAGGAGGAGGAGGAGAGAGAGAGAGATTGATTAATTGTTCCATTTATTTATGCATTCATTGGTTGCTTCTTCTTTGTGCCCTGACCCAGGATCGGACCTGGAACCTTGGCTTATCAAGGCAATGCTCTAACCAGCTGAGCTGCTAGGCCAGGGCCTTGATTTGATTTTAATACAAGTCAGTTAGCTTGAGGAAAGCTAAACTTAATCATGGCCATGTATTTTTGAGTGTGAGATGTTATAAGAGGAACATCATTAACCCTGCAAAGCAATAGCACTGGTTATGTTGCCAGCTGATTAATAGCTTTACATTTGCATATCTTTTATTAGCAAAGATTGCTGATTTGTTCCCAAAATCGTGGTTAGGCTACTTTGTCATTGTTGTGTGAACATCATAGAGTGCACTTTTGTAAACCTAGGTGGTATAGCCTCCTGCAGTTGTGTATGCTATATGTTTATACCACTGGCAGCACAGTAGGTTTGTTGATAACAGCACCACAAAACCATAATTGTATAAGCCCTGACAGTAGGCTTTCCTTTTTTTTTTTTTTTTCTTTAAAATTTTTTTTGTTAATCCTCACTCGAGGATTTTTTTTCCAGAGAGAGAGAGTAGAAGAGAGGAGGGGGGCAGGGAGAGAGAGAGAGAAACATTGATGTGACGCATGGATTGATTGCCTCCAGAACGAGCCCTGGGGTGAGAATCCACAACCCAGGCATGGGTCCTTGACTGGGAATTGAACCAGCAACCCTTTGGGTGCGTAGGCCAATGCTCTAACTGCTGACCTACACCAGCCTACAAAGAAAAGGGTGGCTTTTCTTTGTTTTCATGCAAGTGCCTGATTTAGGCTTTGATTCCCTAGGCATCCACTCCAAAGAGGCATTCATTTCAAAAAGGCATCTGGCTTCAAGGAAGGCTATCTAGAATAAATACATTGCCAGCCACTAGATAAAGTGCCAGGCCGCCTTCCCACATTGAGGCGATTTTAGAGATCTTGGTTGATTATGATAACTAACCATTTGGGATACTTGTTTTTTTGTGTTTTTTTTCCCTGTTCTAGTGCTTTAAATTCCCACTCTTATGTTTTACATTCACCAATAAGAGTGAGCTCGTAATACCCTACAATGAAACCCTAGACTCCCCACCCTCTACCCCACCCCAATAAAAGCAGAACCCTAGGCTCTTGCTTTCCCTTTCTCTCTACCCTTGACCCAGCTGTATGCCCCTTGGCATGCCTTGTATGCTTCAGGGCCGGTAAATAATAAATTCTTTTTTTCTTTAAAGCTTCCTAATCGTTACAGCTTGTAATCATAGTAAGAGTAGGTCTAGTTGTGACATTGGTTTAGAAAAAAGAGTTGTCTGGGAAGCTCATTGGATCCAGATGAGTGCCCCCTGGCATTTCTAGTTGATAGCAATCAATAGACTGTTTTGGGACAGGCACAAAACAGTAATGCCTTGTGCTACAATGTTACAAGTGCTACGGAGTCACTAGGCTAGGCAGAAGGAATTTTTCAGCTCCATTATAATCTTATGGGACCACTGTGTTATATGTAGTCTGTTGTTGACCAAAACATGGTAATGTGGTGTATGACTCTATAGGTATTAGTATCAAGTTGGTAGAGTTATATAAAGGAAAGAACATAGCTTTTATGTAACATAGAGTTATATAAAGGAAGTTATATAAAGGAAAGAACGTAGCTTTTGAAATTTGGCAAACTCGATTTCAAATTTTGATTCAGCAATTTATAGCTGTGATATTAACTTTAGACAATTTCCATAATTTTTCTTTTCTGTAAAGTTGGCATTATGCCAATCCAGAGATTTAAATTTAAAAAATTATTAAATATATTATACATACAAAGGAAGCACATATAAAATATTTGTATAGTTGAGAAAGTAGTAGTAATATAAGAACCCACCCATGTACCTGCCATCCAGGTTAATAGAAATTACAGTGCCTTTGAAGGCCCTTATATACCCTTCTCTTCAGATATAACTATTATGCTGAATTTTGTGATAATCACTCTTTGCATTTATTTATAGTTTTACCACCCATGAATGTATCCTTAAGCAGTATATTTAATTTTGCCATTTTTTGGTATTCATATACAATATGATGCCATTTTTATATTCTTGGATTTTCTTATTTTGCTCATATTTATATCTTTGTTTTAAAATTCACTCATGTTGATGTGTACAGCTTTATTTCATTAATTTTTGCTGCTGTATGAATGTACTGTGGTTTATTCTACTGTTGAGGGACAATTGAGTTGTTTCCAGATTTTTATTATTGTAAAAAGTGCTGCTCTGAACATTTTTTTAAAAAATTTAATTAAAAAATATATCTTTATTGATTTCAGAGAGAGAAAGGGAGAGGGAGAGAGAGAGATAGAAACATCAATGGTGAGAGAGTCATTGATCAATTGCTTTCTGCACATCCTCTGACTGGGGATCGAGCCTGCAAACCTGGGCATGTGCCCTGACTGGGAATTGAACCATGATCTCCTGGGTCCTAGGTCGATGCTCAACCACTGAGGCACACCCGGCCTGGCTGAATGCTCTTAAGTCCTTGAACATGCCTATATATGAGAGTGTCTTTAGGAGTGGGATTTTCTAGGAGGAATCTCACCTATTAATCATAGTTGTTTTAATAATTTGAGAACCCAAATTATTCCATATGCTGAGGCTTTTTTTGGTTGTTGAAGATTTATTGTGGTATTGCATGCTTAGGACAGTTTCTAGCACATAGTATACTTTCAGTAAATAATTGTTATTACTAATTTTTCTGAACTAATATGGACTGTAGTTGAGATTTTTTTAATGAGAATTTTTGGAAGTAATTTTAGAGGCTTTTCTTTTCCCAACATTTTTTAATGAGCTACTTTCATTTTTAGGACTTAATACTTTAGGTTCACAGGGCACAGAATTCTAGGTTGGTGGTGTTTTTCTCTCTTAATACTTTAAATATTTTATTCCACTCTTGCTTGCATGATTTCTGATAAGGATAAAATTCTTATCTTTGTTCCTCAGTAGATAAGGTGCTTTTTTTCTTCTAGCTTCTTTCAGGATTTTTTCTTTATCTTTGATTTTCTGTAGTTCGGAAATGAATTGCCTAGATTTAGTTTTATTTGGCATTTATCTTGCTTGATCTCTGAGCTTCCTGAATCTGTGTTTTTATGTCTGACATTAATTTGGTACAATTCATAGTTATTACTGTTTCAACTTTTTATTCTGTTCCCTTGTCTTTTTCTTCTTCTGGTATTCCCATTGTGCATGTGTTATATCTTTTGTAGTTATCCCAGAGTCCTTGGATATTCTGTTGTTTTTTTCAGTCTTTTTTCTCCTTGCTTTTCAGTTTTGGAGGTTCTATTGAGATATCTTCAAGCTCAGAGATTCTTTCCTCAGCCATGCCTAGTGTATTAATAAGCCCATCAAAGGCATTCTTAATTTCCGTCAGTGTTTTTGATCTCTAGCATTTCTTTTTGGTTTGTTTTTAGAATTGCTGTCTCTCTGCTTACATTCCCCATCTCTTTTTATGGTGTCTGTTCTATTCATTAGAGCCCTTAGTGTATTAATCATTGTTGTTTTAAATTCATGGTCTGATAATTCCAAATTCCTGCCATATCTGGTTATAAGGCTTCTGCTGTCTCTTCAAGTTGTTTTTTGCCTTTCTGTGTGCTTTGGAATTTTTTCTTGATAGCTGACATGAGGTATAGGGAAAAAGGAACTGTTGTAAATAGTCCTTTAGTAATGTGGTGGTAAGGTGTGTGGGGAGGGGAAGCATTCTATGGTCCTGTGATTACGTCTCAGTCTTTTAGTGAGCCTGTGCCTCTGGAATGTCAACTTCACAGTGTTTTAGTTTTTCCCTTCCCCTTTCGGTGGGAGAAAATGGCAAGAGTGTGCTGGAGTTGGGTATTTCCCTTTCCCAAGGTCAGGTAGCTCCTATAATACCCTACAGGTTAGGCTCTGGTTAACTAGTTTCTCCTGAGGGCAGTCCTTGTTAAGGGGAACAGAGTGCTTTGGTGTATTTCAAAGTGGTTCCTTTCCCCCTCCCTTTGTGGGAAACGTGAGGGGATTTTTCTTTCATAAATACTATGAGGACCCGGTCGAGCCCCTGAATGTAAATCTCACAAAATTGTAGGGGTGAGTCCCCATTGAGGTTTTTCTTTAAAGTCTTAATTTTTTTCAGAGTAGTTTTAGTTTCACAGCAAATTGAGAGGAAGGTACAGAGATTTCCCATATATCCCCTGCCCCCGCACACTCATTGTCTCCCCCATTATCAGCCTCACTCAACAGAGTGGTACATTTGTACCTAGGATGAACCTACATTGATATATCATACTCACCCTAAGTCCATAGTTTACCTTAGTGTTCACTCTTGGTGGTGTACATTCTGTGGGTTTGTACAAATGTATAACGACATATAATCCATCATTATAATAGTGTTTTCATTCCCTCCCAAATCCTTCCTGCTCTGCCTATTCATTCTCTTACCACCTTAACCCTTGGCAATCACTGATCTTTTTATTGTATCCAAAGTTTTGCCTTTTCCGGAATGTCTTATATTTGGGATCATACAGTATGCAGACTTTTCAGATTGGCTTCTATATCTTAGTATTATGCATTTAAGGTTCCTCCTTGTATTTTCATGGCTTGATAGCTCATCTCTTTTTAGTACTGAATAATATTGCATTGTCTGGATGTACCACAATTTATCCATTCACCTACTGAAGGACATCTTGGTTGCTTCCCAGTTTTGGCAGTTATAAACAAAGCTGCTATAAACATCCATGTGCAGGTGTTGTGTAGACTCTCCTGGAGTTTTTCTCAGACTTGTCCACACTGAGCCTCCAGCAATTGGTCAATTACAGTTCAGGTTTTCATGGTGGTTCAGGCATCGGTTTCCACGGTGGTTTTCATTCCTGAGTCTCTGCTCCAGTAAGTCATGAATCCTGTATTTGCCTGTGTTGCTCTCCAATATTGGGGTCAGTGGTTTTCACTGTGTCTTTGCCACTCTTCAGGGTCCTAGAAAAGTTGTTGATTTTTCACTCTGTTCAGCTTTTTACTTGATGAGACAGAGTGGTAACTTTCAAGCTCTCCACATGTGGAATTGGAAACTAGAAGTTCTAAACTGTTTTAAAATGAAAAGTAGTGCATAAAAAAGTACATATGTATTTATTTAGAGTGGGGCAAAAGTAGGTTTACAGTTGTTTGTATGGAAAATAATACAATAGTAAATAAGAATTAACTCCGTTTTGTGTACTCACAACTGTAAACCTACTTTTGCCCCACCCTGTATATGATTTTTAAAAAGTAAACTATATGGAAGGGAATACAATGAAACATTTAAGTCTTTTCCATCCTAGACCTTAGATCTCCAGGTCTTCTCCCTAGAGGAAACCACTGTTAATAGTTTCATGTATATTCTTCCATAGGTAACCTCAGCATGCACAAATGTATGTGTATATGTAACATTTTTGTAAAAAAATAGAAGCATATTTAACATGCACTGGACCTTGTTTTTGTTCTTATAAGTTCATTTCATATTAACATATAATCTTTCATTCTTTTTTATTTCTACAAATTATTCTATTAGATATGTATGTCATAATTTATTTAACAGCCCTCATATCCCCATGATGAACATTTATGATGTTTTCAGGGTTTTAATTAAAATCACTATAGCCATGTACACACATCTTTGCAATGTGTGACTGTATCCATGAGATACATTCCTAGAAGTTATCTCCTTAATATTATTAAATAAATACATACAACTTTTATGAGTATAACATGAGTTTTTTTCCACTTCTTTAGAAAGAAGCCTAAGAAGAGAGAAAATGAGACTGGATGTAGAAGGTCAATGCGATTACTAAACATAGATCCTTCAGGAGTTTCATTACCAGAAACCCCAACCCAGCCAACAGTAGTAGTAGTAGATGAAAATGTAAGAAAGAGTGCAAATACAATATATTTACTTAATAAAATACTGAAAATTTTGAAGTGTTTGAAACTAAACTAAAAGGTCATTAAATTATGTTTAATTTGTTCTTTATTAATTTAATACTTAACTGTTGTATGATTTAATGTGATTTTCAACAGGTGTGCCCCAAGAATTTTTAAAACATGCAGTATACCTGACTAAAACACTGACCTCTTTTTTTAAAAAATATATCTTTATTGATTTCAGAGAGAGGAAGGAAGAGGAAGAGAGAGACAGAACATCAATGGTGAGAAAGTTGTCATTGATCCACTGCCTCCTGCACGCCCACAACTGGGGATCAAGCACACAACCTGGGCATGTGCCCCAACCAGGAATTGAACCGTGATCTCCTGGATCCTAGGTTGATGCCCAACCGCTGAGCCACCCATAGCTGGGCCGCACTGACCTCTTTTCCCTTTGATTGTCAAATACAAAAATGACAGCAGCCAACACAACATCTATCTATCTGGTGTGAATGAATCAGAATTATACCTATTTTTTTGTCAGATCGGCAAAAAATATATTTTTTGGTGTGCTGCAGAATTTTAGTAATTAATTTCTGTGTGCCATGAGATGAAAAACATTGAAAATCACTGATTTAATGACTAAGATTTCTAAGTCATTAAGACTGGGTTGAATTCTATATTTCTGCAGGTTTACCTGCTATGGGATTGTGGGTAAATTACTTAACCTTTTTGAATCCTGATTTCCCCATTTTTAAAATGGCAACAATAATGGAAACCTCAACAGGGTTTTGTGAGGGTTAAATGAAATAGTTTCTATAAAGATCCTTATATTGTATTAGGGGCTTAGTAAGTAATCAATAAGTGATAGTTATTAATGTTAATATGTGTTAATAGCGATGGAGTTTTTTGCTGTAGTTTAATTTTATACTTTCAGTGGATGGAAAGAGCCTTACCAAATTTATTGTCTAAGTAAGATTTTAATCTTAATTTTAGTCTAAATAATTATATTTTTTATTCAAGAGCACCTACTGTTTTTAATACTTTATATCTAAGTGCTTAATTATAAATTGGAAGATGACATTAATTAGGCTGGTGCTTTGGAAACTAATTGCAAATTAAGGAGCTATGGGAAGAGTAGCTTTTGCAGTTTTTAAAGCCTCCACCCACAGTAAGAAATATATTTACATTGAACTCAATACACACACACACAACTAAAATAAAACTTGTGAAATGATACTTGACCATATTACATGTGATGCAGTTTTGTATTTTCTATTCTATTCTTATTCACTAAAACACAATGCTGGTTGTGACATTGAAGTGATTTCACGATTCGTGGGTTACAACCTCTGATTTAAAAAACACTGGCATAGCCCGGCTGGTGTGGCTCAGCTGTTGAGCATTGACCTAGGATCCAGGAGATCTTGGTTTGATTCCTGGTCAGGCACATGCCCGGGTTGTGGGCTCGATCCCCAGTGTGGGGGGAGCAGAAGGCAGCTGATCAATGACTCTCTCATCATTGATGTTTCTATCTCTCTCTCCCCCTCTCCCTTCCTCTCTCTGAAATCAATAAAGACATATTTTTTAAAAAAACAAAAAACACTGGCATAGAATAATAACTTTGATTAATGAAATTTAACTATCTGAATCAACTCTCAGCAACTCCAGGTATTAGCAGTGGAACTTTGGATAAGTTATCTTCTCTAAGTTTCATTCCAATGTTTTTAAAATGTGGTATCTCATTTATTGGATTATTGAGAGAATTAAATGAGATAATACATTTCATTACTTACAGGATACATGACGTTCATTCATTGAACAACTGTTTGAATGCTAATGATGTGTCACCCCTGTTGTTGGTATAGAAAGTTATGTAGTGAAAAATCTGAAGCCTACATTCCAGGGCAGGGCGACAATCAACTCTTTTATGTTTCCTTTCTTTCTTTTTTATAACAGCCTTTGTTACCTCCTGGGCCTTTAGAAATGACTCCTGAAAATCGAGATGATAATAGTGAACTATTTAAAGGATTTCTACAGACTTGGGCAGAAGTGAGCAAGGTATCAGTTGGGAGGGCTTATACTTGTATAAACTTTTAGAATCATCTGTTAATGAAAATTCAGTACATATATTAACTTTGTACTTTGGTCTCTCCCATTGTTTCAGACAAATAATAAGAACATTGAGAAGGAATTATCTAGCATTAAAAGGTCAGTTAAAATTTCTTGCCTTTATTTACATTTTCTGAGATCTTTAAATTATAAAACTATAAAACAAGAAATTTTGAAAATGAGGTGAAAATTTTACCCATAATATTTCCATCCTAACAACTATTTTTGTATATTTCCTTTAAAGTGTTGCCATATGCAGTACCGCTAGGATATATGCTTCATGAATTGCAGGGGCTTTGTCTCGTTTCCGAGAACAGTGTCTGGCATGTAGTGTATATTCATTCACTGTTTAATAAATGAATGAACAAACATATTTACTCTGTTATGTTTTTTTTTTCTTTTTTTTTTGAATTTATTGGGGTAATATTGGTTTGTTCTAATGTTTATATAATTTTGCCTTATGCTTTTTCATTATCATTGTGGTTAAATGTTACTAGAGTCTTCAAATTTATTGAATAATTGCATAATAATTTGTTGAGTGGGTAGAATTTACTTAACCTGCTCTTACCCTCTTGGTGTTTGGAGTTGTTTTCTATTTAGTTTTGTGTGTTTGTATGTGTGCATATATTTGCTGAAGTATATATGTATGATGGTAGATTATTTCCTTAGGATAGTTTCCAGAAGTGAGATTAATGAGTTGGATATTATGGACACATTTATAGCTTTTAGTACACATTGCTGAATTGCTTTTCAAATTGTCTGAACTATGAATTTACTCTGTCACTAGCAGTATATATGAATGTATATGTTTAATTGTAGCCTATTAGCTTTTTTAAGTGAAAAGTAGTACCTCATTATTTACTTTGATTTCTTTGGTTGTCAGGAGGTTGAATATTTTCCCACATTTATTTACTAATTGTGGTTTTTCTTTTATGAGTCATCTTTTACTTATTTTGTCAATTAAGACTGGTTTTACTTCTAAAATTTAACTTTTTAATTTTCTCAGCTACAAAGCCAATTTAGCTGGCATGGTTATTAGTGAAGATACTGTTTGTAAAGTTACCAAAGGTTCTGTATGCTCTATGGCTCTTCATCCATCAGAAATTAGAACTTTGGTGGCAGCTGGGGCCAAATCTGGGCAAGTTGGACTTTGGGATTTGGTAAGTTGTTATTAATTTTTTGAAGATATTAAAGTTTGACTGAAGCAAATAGTCTGCAAGAAAATAGCGTAGAGCGTGTGTTTGTAGATGTTGTTTATAGTTTTGTGCTTTGTGATTCCAAACTCTAGAAATCTGGAGGAATTAAAATTTACTATTTAGAACTTTAGCATTTTTAAGCTTGAATATCGTTAGTCATATGGGCATAAACTAACTGCCAAGAAACTTTATTACAATTTTAAATGTATATATGAAAAGATCACACCAAGTTCTTATTTTTCTAATTGTGTTTAAAATACAGTTTCTGAAGACTCATAGATACAGAAAACATTTTGACGGTTGCCAGATGGGAGGGATGTTGAGGGGATGAGTGACAAAGGTGAAGGGATTAAGAAGTACAAATTGGTTGTTACAGAATAGTCACAGGGATATAAAGTACAGCATAGGGAATAGAGTCAATAATATTCTAATAACTATGTATGGTGTAAGATGGGTAAAAGATTTATCGGGATAATCACTTAGTAAGTTATGTAATGTCTAATCACTGGGGTGTACACCTGAAACTAATATAATAATGTATCAACTAATTAAAAAATAAAAATGATTTAAAAATGGAAAAAAAAATACAGATTCTATGCTGGATCAAAATATCTTCCCAGGGATCTACTTAGGATGATCCCAGTCATTTTTTGATGAGTCAGAAACACTGAATTCCATTCATTGTACATATAATTCTGCACTGATTGCTTTCAGTGGTTACGTAATTGAGAAAAGCCAAGTCAGTGTTCTCTGAATTTATTTTCTAATTGGGGGAGTAGAACAAAGACCTGAAAAATGCCATAAGGACAATTAATGAAGATGAAGAAATCATGGTGACTTGAAGCTGGTTGGGGTTAATAAATAAATTTTTTAAGTGAGAAGAAGAAATAGCCAAATTCTCTCTTATTTTAGGAGCATAGATTCTCCCTTAATTTGATGACATATGAGTGGGGGTAGTTGGTGAAAGGATTTGGTAAGGAAAATGGAAGCAGAGAAGTGGGAAGAGGACCAGAAATAGTATAAATTTGTAGAAGCTAAGAGATGAGGCTTTTTTTGTTGTTAATGCTCACCTGAGGATATTTCTTTCCACTGATTTTTAGACAGAGTGGAAGGAGTGGGAGGGAGAGACAGACAGACAGATATGGCATGTGCCCCTTTTGGGATTGAACCCACAACCTGGGTATGTGCCCTGACCAGGAACTGAACCCTCCACCTTTTGGTTTATGGAACGACACTCCAACCAACTGAACCACATGGGCCAGGGCTAAGAGATGAGTTTTAAGGATGAGAGTGTGGTAGGGCTGCTTTCAGAGAAGTTAAAAAGAATGGGAACAGAGAAAAGGCCATTGGTTTTGAAAATAAAGTACCATTATTGGGAGAATAGCTTTAACACTGACATAAAAAAGGAGCACCGGCTTTAGGAGATTAAAAAGGTATGGGGTGGTGGAAGAAATGGAAGGAATGGATAAAGACTGTTGAAGAACTTTGAAAAGGAAAAAGAGTTAGCATAGTCAAGTGAAGATCTTTTTTTTTTTAAAAAAAAAATCTTTATTGATTTCAGAGAGAGGAAGGGAGAGGGGGAGAGAGAGAGAGAAAAACATCAATGATGAGAGTCATTGATCGGCTGCCTCCTGCATTCCCCCTACTGGGGATCGAGCCTGCAACTGGGGCATGTACCCTGACCAGAAATTGAACTGGGATCTCCTGGATCCCAGCCAGGCTCAAGTGAAATTAAATTGGGGGGGGGGCGGAGAAAGAAGACAACATAAAAGACCACACATCGTATGATTCTATTCATATAAACTGTCCAAAAAGGACACCCAGCCAGGCTCAAGTGAAGATCTTTTCATAGGTAGTTGATCTCTGCAGAATTAGACATGTAGAAAAGTCCCTTTGTCATGTCTTTTCTGGTGACTCCAAAAATCTATATTATTAGGTCTCTGTAGTCCAGTATCTCTATTAACCTAATTTTCCAGGACACTTGGCTATTTCATTATCAGATTGAGCAAGTCTAAAACCAATACCTTGGCTGTCCTGTGCTCATTCCCCAGTACCCCTAGTTTTTAAAAAAAATGAACTTCACTGAGATATAATTTGCATATAAAATCCACACATTTTAAATCTACAATTCAGTAATTTTTAATAAGTTTTTTGAGTTGTGTAACTATTATAAGCCAGTTTTAGAACATTTTCATCATTCCTTTAAGATTTCTCATGGGTACTTACATTTAATCCCTGTTTCTACCTTTATCCTGAGGCAGATCTCCAGAAATTTGTCCTTTTTGGACAGTTTATATGAATAGAATCATACGATGTGTGGTCTTTTATGTTGTCTTCTTCCCCCCCCCCCTTAATTTAATTTAAATTTTTCCCATCACCATTTATCCCCTCTATACCCTCTTCTACCTCCACCCGTCCTCCTCCCTCCCACAGTCACCACACTGTTGTCTGTGCCCATGAGTTCTTTCTCTCTTTTTTTCTCTTTTCTTTTTGCTCAGTCCCTCCATGCCCCCTCTCTTCCCCTCCTACTCCGCCTTGGCTTCTTTCTTTTAACATAATGTTTTCAAGGTTAATCTGCGGTGTAGCATGTGTCAGTACTTGGTTCTTTTTTATTCCTGATTAGTATTCCATTGTTTGACTATGCCATATTTTGCTTATCCATTTATCACTTGATAGACATTTGGGTCTGGAATTAAAATAAATATTGCATATTGTTTCAGCTAAAACCAGCTGCCCTCCCTGTCCCCATCTTTTTTCTGGGCTACAGAAAAGCCTGGCCTTTTCTGAGGGAAAAATGAACTGGTATCAGATACTAGGAGAAAAGAGTCAATATGTTATATCAGAGCAACTAGTATGGACAGAGCAGTTCAAGCATGCTGAAAATGGAAAGAAATGACATGGCAACTAGACATACACTATCGCAAAAACAACGAAAGAACCTAGCATACAAAGACAGACCTAGAAGAAAAACATAACTTAAGGAAAGGAAGGAAATTCTCCTCAGTTGCTCCAGACTGTAGACTGCATGGTTCAGTACAGTAGCTACTAGTCATTTAAGACTATTTACATTTAAATTAGAATTAAATTAGAAAATTCACTTCTTTAGCTACGCTAGGCACATTTCAAGTGCTTAATAGTCACACAAGGCTAGTGGATACCATATTGGACAGTGCATAAATATAACGTCATCTTAGAAAGTTCTTTTGGACCGTGCTGCTGTGGAGAGAGTTAATAACAACATTAATCTGGTAAAATAAGACTTAAAAAAGAGATGATAAAACAACGGAATGAGATGAAAAAGGAGATTGAAGAATTCAAGAAACAAATTGAAGGTCAACGAAGCTAGTAAATTAGACAAAAGCAAGGAACAGAATAGACATTGCTGAAAATTAAGTTACAGACATGAAAGATTCGAAGTAATATCAACCACAGGTGAAAAAAAGCTTTAAGAGTAAAGGAAAAACAAAGATGACCCAAGAAATGGAAGAGAAATTACATTTAAGAATAGTTTTCTGAAAAGACAAGGTTGAATTGGCAGATTGAATGTGTACACCAGGTTCTAGGAAAATTTGGAACTTAAAAGATAAAGAATTCTTCAGGAAGAAAGAACAAATTATATTCAAGGGGAAAAGCTAGGCTTGCCTCAGTTTTCTACAACATTTCAAATAATGTCTACAAAATTCTGACGGAAGGAAGTATAGTCCCAGAATACTTACCTAACCTAAGATATTGTTCTAATGTAAAGGCAGCAGGTAGGTATTCTCACATGTGAGAAAACAAAACATTCAAGGAGTTCATCTGGAAAAAACTGCCTGACAGCAAATCTCAGCCAGTTAAGAGTAAATCAAAATGAATAATTCAGGAATGGAGAAGCTTGATAAAATAATTGATTATAAACATTGAATCCATTTAAATGCAGAACTAATATTAACCGTACAAATTATGGTTATAGAAGTTAATGTAAATGTTATGTAGCCGGACAAAATAAAAATAGTATACAAAACATAACAAAAATAATATAACAAAATATTGTATTGCATGTCTCCTTCCATCACCATTTATCCCCCCATACCCTCTCCTACTTCCCTCCACCCTCTTTTCCCTCTGTTGCCTGTGTCTCTAAGCTGTGTTTGTTTTTTTTGCTTAATCCCTTCACCTTATTTTACCTATGCCTACAACCCCCTCCCCTCTGACAGCTGTCAGTATGTTCTCTATCTATGAGTCTGTTTCTATTTTGTTTATTTTGTTCATTAGTTTCCACATATAAGTGAAATCATATGGTATTTGTCTTTGACTGGCTTATTTCACTTAGCATTGTACTCTCCAGGTCCATCCATACTGTTGCAAAGGGTAAGATTTCCTTTTTTTTTTTTTTAATGGCTGAGTAGTAGTCCATTGTGTAAATGTACCACAGCTTTTTTATCCACTCATCTACTGATGGACACTTGGACTGCTTCCAAATCTTGGCTATTGTTGCAAATAATAATATTAATGTGGAAATTCAAATACTTGGCATTTTCATTGTACATTTAGGGAGTAAAATATTTCTAAAACTCTCATTTTGTTCCAGGGCCAAATACCTTGTGAAAATTATTCTGAGAATGCTGTATGTACTCATATAGCAGCATACTTAGGAGGCGAAGTGTAATGGTATTGATACTGTTTTTGGTAGCAAGGAATAATACTGAGTTGATTTCTCATTTCCTAAGGGTTTTATGAACTGAAGTCATAATAAGCAGTAATTTTTTCTCTTTATAATGAAAAAAACTATCTAGTTGCAAAAAGCTAGAAACTGTTAAACTAAATGTGACTTCTTGTATTGAAAATTTGAAGAAAAAAAAGTAGTGACAGTATAAAGCTTCTAGTTCTGACTTTCTGAATGGGAGGTGGGTACAATTATAGACTAAGACTGACTATAATACAGATGTAAATAGTTTAATGACATAGAAAATACTGCTACTTTTCACTAGTGTTTGTCCCTTTCCCCTTCCCCAATCTTGTTCCAGACTCACCAACCTAAAGAAGATGGAATTTATGTTTTTCAACCCCATAGTCAGCCAGTTAGCTGTCTTTACTTCTCACCTGCCAATCCGGCTCACATGCTGTCACTGAGCTATGATGGCACATTACGCTGTGGGGATTTTTCCAAGGCTGTTTTTGAAGAGGTAAATGTTAATGTGCTTACATGTTGATCTCGGGTGATAGTCTGGATTTTTTATGAAATGCCACATGAATAATTATTACACCAGTCAGATTGGGTAAGGTGGTAGCGACTTTAGAACTATGCTTCCTAAGTCCCAAGCCATCTATTACTACTTGTGTGTCCTTGGCAAGTTACTTAACCTCTTTGTGCATCAATTTTCTTAGTTGTAAAATCGGATAGTACTTTATAGAGTTGTCATGAGGATTAAATGCAGATAATGAATTAATGCAGATAAAGCACTTAGAACAGTCTAAGATAGAGTACTTAGAACAGAGTCTAAGATAGAGTACTTAGAGTTGTGAAACCATACCACAATCTAATTTTAGAATATTTTCATCACCCCCAAAATAAATCCCTCCCCAGCCCTAGGCAACCACTAATCTACTTTCTGTCTCCATAGATTTGTCTGTTCCGAACGTTTCATATAATGGAATCATACAATTTGTACTCTTTTGTGACTGGCTTCATTTACTCTGCAGAATGTTTTCAAGGCTCATCTATGTTGTAGAATGTGTCAGTACTTAGTTCCTTTTAATGGCTGAATAATATTCCATTGTGTGGCTATGCCAGATTTTACTCATTCAGTTCATTAGTTGACAAACATTTGGGTTGTTTTCATTTTTTACTATTGTGAATAATGCCATTATGAACAATAATGTACAAGTTTTGTGTGGGTATATGCTTTCATTTCTCTTGAGTATATACCTAGGAGTGGAATGGTGGGTCATATGGTAACTATGTTCAACATTTTGAGGGACTGCCAAACTGTTTTTCAAACTGGCTTTACCATTTTATTTTATTTTTATTTTTTAAAAATATATCTTTATTGATTTCAGAGAGAGGAAAGGAGAGGGAGAGAGAGAGATAGAAACATCAATGATGAGAGAGCCATTGATTGGCCTCCTCCTACATACCCCTGACTGGGGATCGAGCCCGCAACCTGGGCATGTGCCCTGACCAGGAATCGAACCCCGATCGCCTGGATCCCAGGTCGATACTCAACTGCTGAGCCACGCCCGGCTGGGCTGGCTTTACCATTTTACATATCAGTAATGTATGAAGGGTTCTAATGTCTCTACATCCTTGCCAATACTTTTTATTGTTGGTAAGTATAGCATCCTAGTGGGTATGAAGTGGTATCTCATTGTGGTTTTAATTTTCATTTCCCTAATTATTCATGATGCTGAACATCTTTTTATCTGCCATTTGCATTTCTTTAGAGAAATGTCTATTTGGATCATTTATCTATCTTTAAATTATTAAGTTTTATATAACAATTCTCCCACTTTATCCTTTTGTCAGGCTTATTGAGGTATAAGTTACATATAGTAAAATTTAGGCATAGTTATATGAGTTTTGGCAAATTGTATACACCTGTGTAATCACCACAATCAAGATATAGAAAATTTCCATGCTTAAAAAAATTTACCTCGTGACCCTTTGTAGTGAGTTCTCTCTTTTTCCTTGAGTCCCTGGCAGCCGCTGATGCGATTACTATGTCCCTATAATTTTGCCTGACGGAACGTCAAGTAAATGGAATCATTCAGTATGTAGCCTTTTCTGTTTGGTTTCCTTCACCTTGCTCAATGCTTTTAAGATTCATCCATAATGTTGCATGTGTTAGTAGTTTTTTCCTGATACTACTGATTGAACAATCACCTTGTGTTAGGCATTAACTTGAGTGTGCTTTTATATATTATTTAGCTTTATAATACCTCATGAAATAGTAGGTAGTGTTAGCCCCCATTTAACAGTAGATAAAACTGAGGTTAAAGAGGTTTATTAGCTTGCTCAAGGACATAAATGGCAGAACTAGAATTTGCACTTGGGTCTGTCTGACTCCAAGGCCTCTGCACTCAACCTTTTTAATACACTGACAATATGTCAAGTTTCATTTTTTGTATGCTGGGCTTTTTTGGTTGTATGGTGGTTGGGATGCCTTTGGTGTATTCATGTGTTTTTTTTATTTTTTAAAAATATATCTTTATTGATTTCAGAGAGAGGAAAGGAGAGGGAGAGAGAGAGAGAGACAGAAACATCAATGATGAGAGAGTCATTGACCAAGCTCACAACCCGGGCATGTGGCCTGACCGGAAATCGAACCCCTATTGCCTGAATCCCAGATCGATGCTCAACCACTGAGCCACGCCCGGCCGGGCTGGTGTATTCATTTGTTAACCTCAGTTTATAATACTTATTATTACAACTTAAAATCAGCAGCAGTTCATGATTCAACAATAAGAATTCTGGTCATCCTCTCCTACTTGAGTACTGACACATTCTTCAACATTTATTTTTTATTCCTTATGTATGTGAGTCTTAAACCCAAAGTGATAGTATTATGGATTATAAGTGATTAAAAAAAGAATAATGTATGTTCATGGTAAAACATTTATTGTATATAGGATATGCAAAGCAAATCTCCCCTTCCCTCATTCTTATATTTCTTTGGTATATTTCCAGAAAGTACACATATATTTACAAGCATATAGATACAGAATTTTTTCTTTGCACTAACAGATTCATACTATATACATACTTTTTTGCAACTTGTTTTTTCACTTACTAGTATATCATGGACAGTTTGTAGTACAGATCTACCCCATTCTTTTTTTAGCATTGCACAGTATTTCAAAGTAGAGATGTACCATCATTTATTTAACTAGATCTCTTTTGGTTGACATTTAGACTGTGTTTCTTTTTTAATCCTCACCCAAGGACATGTCCAATGATTTTAGAAAGGGAGGGAGGGAAGGAGGAAGGGAGGAAGGGAGAGAGAGAGAAAGAGAAACATCAATTTGAGAGAGAGACATCAATCGCGTGGCTTACCATATGCACACAACTGGGGATCAAACCTGCAACCTATGTTTGTGCCCTGATGAGGAATCGAACCTGAGACTTTTTGGTGTACAGGACAAAGCTCCAACCGAGCCACCCAGTTGGGGCTAGATTGTCTCTTGCTGCTCTTGTAAGCAGTCTTGCAGTAGGCATCCTTATATATATCTTAGTGATATTTGGTATGAGCATTAAATATCTTTACACTTCCATCAAAATAGGTGAGCCATTCAGCCATATATCTTGGACTTTATTGGCAAAGTTACTTGGTTTATTAAAGTATTTCAATTGGGTAGAATTCAGATTCAGTCTATTTCCTAGTAAGTTTCACAGAGTAGATCTGCGATTGAGGTTTATTGGATTTAGGAGATTTTGGGATGCAGCCCTAATATGTGTGGATGTACCATTTGATTTAGGTGAGTCTCACAGCTGATCAGTGCCTTAGTTTCCATCTCTGTAAACGGGGATAATCATTTTGCCCTGTGCTTCCTGTGGGGATAAATGAGGTTATTTGGGTAAAGTGTTTCATAACTTTTTCATCAAGGAATTTATGCATTGGCTTTCTTTAAAGGAAGAGTTATGTAAAGGTGTTTGCTACTTATATCCTTAGGTATACAGAAACGAGAGAAGTAGCTTTTCCTCCTTTGACTTCTTGGCAGAAGATGCCTCTACTTTAATAGTAGGACACTGGGATGGAAGTATGTCATTGGTGGATAGACGGACACCTGGAACTTCTTATGAGAAATTTATCAATTCTTCTTTGAAAAAAATAAGAACTATTCATGTCCACCCAGTGCATAGACAGTATTTCATAACTGCAGGATTGAGGTATGTTCTTCATAAAATTTTATGATTTAGGCCCTTTTTTTTTTTAAATCCTCACTTGGGGACATGCTTTTATTGATTTTATAGAGAGAGGGAGGGAGAGATAGAAACATATGAGAGTGAAACCTGGGTGTGTGCCCTTAACAGGAATAGAATGAGTGATCTTTTGGTGCATGGGAGAATACTTCAACCAACCACACTGGCCAGGTCTATGATTTAGGCCTTTTAATGTTAGGAATAATATTTCAGTTTGGTTGTTAAAGACATTTGACTTTTGTGATACCCACAGCTGAATAATTTTCCTTTCTACACAGAGTTTTTTTGAGTGTGATTTTTCTTTTTAAAGAATAGTTTACTGATTTTTTGAGAGAGAGGAAGGGAGAAAGAAAGAGAAAGAAACATTGATGTGAGAGCACAACATCAAGCTGCTACCTCCTGCACGACCCCCACCAGGAATTGAGCCCGAAACCTGGGCATGTGCCCTTGACTGGAAATTGAACCAGCAACCTCCCAGTGCATGGGACAGTGCCCAACCAATTGAGCTATACTGGCCAGGGCCGAGTGTGATTTTTTAAAAAATGAGAGATTCTTTTGCATTAAATAAAGTATTGAAACAAGTACACATTTTTGTTTTCTTTAACATCAAATGCATTTACTTCTAGTCTTTTGAGAAGAAAACTTGTAAAAAAAAAAAGGTTATATATGACCTATAACTTGTTGGTCTGTGTTAATTTTTTTCTTGGAGAGACTGGAAAACCAACTAGGCTTTTCTCTCTATACCCACTGGTTACATCGGTATGCTATAGTTTTAGGATTTTTCTGATATTTTTAATTTTAACTAGTGTTTGTAAAATTAATGCAGAAGATTAGAGGGTTCTCTCTTAACTGTTCTTCAGTGTAGTGAGCATTTGAGTGTCTAATTTATGTTTAACACTATTCTAGAGGCTTATTACATGTACTGTGGTAACACAGAATTATTCCTTCCATTATAGAGATGTTCATATTTATGATGCAAGGCGCCTGAATCCCAAGGGAAGCCAGCCTTTGATTTCTTTGACTGAACACACAAAGAGCATAGCTTCTGCTTATTTTTCACCTCATACTGGTAACAGAGTAGTGACCACATGTGCTGATTGTAAGCTGAGGTAAGTTGGGAGGACAGAAATATGTTGTTAAGTCTAAAGCGTCTAGCTACTGTGTCAATAAACCAGTAGCTTTTTTTTACTGCTGTTCCCTGTTTAATCACTAGTGTTATTGTTTTATAGCTATATCTAGGTTCCTAAAGATCGTTGACCCATATTTGATGGCTCTTCAGCACTTTTTTTTTCTTTAGCAGTTTTTGTGTCTGCAAATTTCCTTGAGATTGAGGGAATCAATGTTGGGCTTTTCTTTTGGCACTGAACAATCCCAGAAATCACAATGAAAGCAGCCTTGTGATATCTTGAAAGGGAAGTAATTTTAGCACAGGGAGAAGCTCTTACCTTGGGGATGGTAGGTTTTATTCTATGTAAGTGAAGTGCTGAATGGAAGTTGCTGAGTCCCAGGCCATGGGTAGGCAGGAAAGAGCAAAAATTGGGCTTCTATACAAACTAGTAGACATAGTTTTATGGTTTCAGCTTTGGTACCTTTCTATAGCTCCTTCCTAAAAGTGGATTTAAAAATGTAATATAAAACAGTTGAACTAAAATAGAAAATAATGCCAATAAAAAAAGATGTGGAGAATATTAATGCAACCACAAAGGAAAATGATTTTGGTCTCTTCTCGAGTCCCTGATTTTGCGTAACATTGCAAGCTTTCTTAGTTTATAAGAGTTTTAGCTTAAGTATTTTGGAATTCATTCACCTAGGATCTGTTGAATATATACTGTGAGCCAGGCTCTAGAAAGGCACCTAATTTCTGTTTAGACCCATCTAAACAGAAGAGCTTGGTCTGCAGTGTGTAGAAGGTGTCCAGTTAATTTCTAGCAGTCTGTGAGCATTACCAGGTGGTACATTTAAGAGATTTATTCACTAGGCAGTGGCAGCTCAGTGTTCCCTTTCCACCCATGCACTATCCTTTGTCTTAAGAGCTGTTTGTCCCATTCCTTTTCATTTGCACTGTAGAGTTTACTCTCTTTACATTAGCCGTTAGGGATTTGGCTTTCTAGTAATCTAATTAGGCAATAAGCTCTAGTGCCAAGAAATTGCACTGGAATAGCTAGGTACAAGGAGAAGGGGAAGGTGGTGGTGATATGGTTTGCTTCTTTCTGCCAGCATACCTGGTGGAGCCTTCTGGACTCCTCTAGCTGCTCCACAAGAACTCCTCCTAGTGGTTGGATCTTAGTCTCGCCAGCACCTGGAAATGATGCTACCAGGCTCTCAACTGATGAGTCTCATTGGGGAACTTGCTCTTAATACATGCATGTACTTTTAGGTTATTTGTGCGTTTTTAGACCACATCCCTTATGTATGACCTATATTACTTTGGATCTGAATATAATTTTAGAATCCAGATTATTACTTTAGAATGTGCACTTTAAGTTTGGAGTAATAGTGTTTTTATAAATTATTTCTACAATACACAATAAGGACTACATTTTACAATATTCCTTATAACTTTCATTAAATATATTAGCTGAGGTTTATTAGATCCTGATTCTATGTATTTCATCTGTTATTATTATTATTATTTTTTAAATGTATCTTTATTGATTTCAGAGAGAGGAAAGGAGAGGGAGAGAGAGAGCTAGAAACATCAATGATGAGAGAGTCATTGATCGGCTGCAGCCCACAACCTGGGCATGTGCCCTGACCGGGAATCGAACCCTGATTGCCTGGATCCTAGGTCGATGCTTAACCGCTGAGCCACGCCCGGCTGGGCTATTATTTTCTTTAAAGTTTTTTTTTTTAATATGTCTATTGATCTCAGAGAGAGGGAGAGGGCAAGGGAGAAATAGAGGCATCAATGATGAGAGAAAGTCATTGGTTGGCTGCCTCCTGCATGCCCCCTACTGGGGATTGAGCCTGCAACCTGGGCATGTGCTCTGACCAGGAATTGAACCACGATCGCCTGGATCATAGGTCGATGCTCAACTGCTGAGCCACACCGGCCAGGCCTGATTCTGTATATTTTTAAATAACAATCATTTCATGTCATGAACCAATGAAAATGTTATTAAACACACTGATGTTATTTCAGAAAATTTGCAAGAAACTAAAAGTGTTACTTTATTATTCTTTATTTCGCAGAATCTTTGACAGCAGCTGTATATCCTCTCAGATTCCTCTCCTCACCACCATCAGGTAGGTTTCCAGATGCCAAATAACGTAGACCCTAGATTACTATGAGCTATTTGTTGGAGTACGTACATTAGACACCTGATTGTCAAAGAGATGTAATAGGTCTTATTTTTGTGTTATGTTGTGTTGAGTGTCCCAGGTTGCTAGCTCTTCTCCTATCCAGAAGGGGTTCTTGCTTCTAGGTTCCTTGTGTTTATAAAGAGGTTCAGTCTCTTTTAGTCAGTAGCTGTTCTCTGAAGCTGAGTGGTTATTTTTGGTTAAGGTGAATGACTTTATTCCAACCTGCATTATTCATGTTATATTATTAAAGAAGACTAGGCACTCACCTGTTAATGAGGCTAGCTGAAGCTCTGTTTATGCCTCTTTGTTCTGAGCTTAGAGTGTTTCCCCACCCTTCCACTTTATTTCTTTGGTTACCCTCTTTTTACATCTGCTACTTTTTCCCCCCCCATTTTTTTTTTTTTTTTTTT